GCCGAAAAACAATAGTTGCAAAAAATTTTATTTTGTTCTAGCTCAATTCTACGATTTTTAATACTAAATAAACCATTATGCACCCTTTTGGCAAACACTTTATATCTTTACAAATAAATTGTTATGAATTATAAATAGGTTTAGTCGATGAAAATGGGGACATATGGAGGGATCAACGGAGGTCTGCGCTACAAATCCTCCGAGACTTAGGCTTCGGGAAGGGCTCGATGGAGGACAGGATCACCGATGAGATCAGTTATCTCACGAAACTTATTGATGAGACTAATGGTGAGCCTATGAATATCCACGAAGTACTGGTGCCGAGTATGTCCAACAATATCTGTCATCTGGTGTTTGGCCACCGAATGGACTTCAATGAACCCAAGAGACAGATATTTGATAAACAGTTAGATCAGGCGTCGTCCAGATTATCAGTTATAGGAGTGCTGGCAATGTCTCCCATTTGGTTCAGTAAATTGTTTTTTAAGCTAGGTGGTGCGTTCAATAAAAAGGTGTTCAACGCCGTGATCAGTATATTTGAGTATGGATTTTATTTGTATTATTGTATTTAAAATATTTTATTTATCTATAAATTTAAATTATTTGAATGAATAGATCGGAGATCTCTTCGCACCGGAAGTCTTTGGACACCAATAATAAGAGGGATTATATCGACGGATACTTAGCGGAGATGGAAGTGAGACAACGAAAGGATCCCAACACTCACTTCAACCGTCAGTCCATACATACAGACATTGATTAATGGATTTTAAATAAATAATAATTTTTTTAGTGAAACGAATGGATGTAAATTGTCGGGCATTTTTTGGTGCCGGGAGTGCAACGGTTAGGTCGACCACTGAATGGTTGCTATTATTGTCCGCCAAATACAGCGAACACCAGAAGAGGATTCACGAAGAGATCGATTCTGTGGTCGGAAGAGATCGGAGTCCCTGTTATGCCGACAGACTTCATATGCCTGATGATTGATGATAAAAACTTTATGACATCACAATGTTTTCAGACTATCTGCTATAAATAGTACAGTAACTCATATACTGAGTGGTCAGAGATAACCTGTTTCAAGGATTGCCATACAGTACTAGTAAGTTATATTCTTAAACATACTTATGAATAGCTAATATTTAAAGTGTTTATCAGTAAAATCACTCAAAATATTTGCAACTAAAAATTAACCCGTTTTAATTATACTGAAATAAAAAATATTTTAAATAACTAAAATCATTTATTTAACTTTTTAAATATTCAAATATACAGTTCAATGTAGAAACTGCGAGAAATAAGGTTTAATTATACACTCAAGTAAAATACTTGTAATAATATTTGATTCTTATTAATAATGAATTGCATAGAAAATATTTTTATTTAAAAACTAAAGTTATTTATATTTTAAAAACACTGTCTATGAGTTAATTCCTAATACAAATTAATATAATTTTAAGTAATAAATTAATAATTATTTAAAACCTCTTTTGAAAGTTAAATATAAGTTTGTGTTTGGGTTCTAATGCTAATCCAAAATCTTCCTCCAGAGTCAACATCTCATCATTTGCTGCACTTATTGTGTATTTTTGGAGAAGTGATACGAAATACAGGAATACATCCATTCGTGCTAATGACTCCCCAACACAATTACGTTTACCTATAAGCCAATTCATACCATGATTATTTAAGTAATTAATTAGTATTATACAATATATCTTACCCATTGAAAATGGTATGAAAGCATCAATTTTAAGCAATTCTTTGCCATCACTTGTGAGGAATCGTTTGGGACTAAACTCTTGCGGTTTATGCCATACTTTGGGGTCGTTATGAACGGCCCATATATTGGCCATAACTGTAGTGTCTTTAGGTATGAAATGACCCAAAACTGTCGTGTCCTCTAATGCTCTGTTATATTATTTTATATAATTATATTAATTATATTAATAGCTATCATTATATACAGTACGCCATACCTTCTCCAAGGATTCAATGGTATTGTAGTCTTATATCTCATCACTTCGTTAATGAACGCCTGAGTGAACGGCATATGAAGTCTGTCGGCATAACAGGGACTCCGATCTCTTCCGACCACAGAATCGATCTCTTCGTGAATCCTCTTCTGGTGTTCGCTGTATTTGGCGGACAATAATAGTAACCATTCAGTGGTCGTCCGCACAGTCCCGCTGCCGGCCTCGAAAAATATCTGACAATTTGCATTCAATCTCTCCACTAAAATATTCAATATTTAATAATTAGTCACAAATATTGCAATGAATTATAGTATGTATGGACTGACGGGTGAAGTGAGTGTTGGGATCCTTTCGTTGTCTCACTTCCATCTCCGCTAAGTATCCGTCGATATAATCATTGACTCTATTATTGGCTTTAAATGACTTCTCGTGCGAAGAGATCTCAGAGCTATTAAATGCGATGAAATGTTTTATTAGTTATCAATGAAACCGGTGTTAAATGTTTACAAACATGATTTATAAACTGAACTACTCACTCATAAATTCCCATTAAAGTATCAAACACCTTTTGATTAATGGCACCACCTAGCATAAAAAACAATTTACTGAACCATAGGGGGGACGTCGCCAACACTCCAACAAATGAGAAATTCTGTATTTCGTCTAAATATTTGTCAAATATCTGTCTCTTGGGTTCATTGAAGTCCATTCGGTGGCCAAACACCAGGTGACTGATAACGTTGGACATACTCGGCACCAGTACTTCGTGGATATTCATAGGCTCACCATTAGTCTCATCGATACGTTTTGTGAGATAACTGATCTCATCGGTGATCCTGTCCTCCATCGAGCCCTTCCCGAAGCCTAAGTCTCGGAACACTTGTAGGGCAGACCTCCGTTGGTCTCTCCATACGCCTCCGCTCTCGTCAAGAATACCTAATTATAAATCATATGTTATTAATAATTGTGTTCAACCAGTCTGAGCCAACCTTGTTCCCATTGGTAAGTGGTAATTTTCGGAGTGTACTTTTATGTGTGTATATTTGTACCAAGTATAGTCATATTTAATAGTGACTATTGCTATGTGCACTCAAAAATTGTCCACTTACAATTTGGAAAGTGGTTGACTAACACTGTGTTAAAATTTGATTTAAATTAATTATTTTATCAAATTGTGACAATCATTTATCGTACTCTTAGTGCCGGTCACCGCAGCAAATGGATGTTCAATGGGTTTGCCTAAAAACGAGTCCTTTTGAAAGGCATCCCTCACGGCTTCCCAATCGTTAAGTATGACAATATTATGCACTCCTAATTGTAAACTACAACCGGCAATGAAAAACATTTATATTACTATTTATGTATAAAAATTAATATATACTTTACAATTTAATACATTGTTTAATAGCTATTCACTACAACATTTAATGTAGACATCAAATTTTGTCTAACAAAAAACTAGTAAATTGAATCGCGACATAATTTTAATGTAAGTTATAATTTACGATATACAGTAGTGAAAAATTTGTTCATCAAAATATTATAATTTATTTTTAAAAAACAAATTTAATTTATTTCAAAAATAACTATAATTTTACAAATGTATAAACTACTTTTTAGAGACTTACGTGAAAACAGAGCCGTATTTGTCACTCAATTTAGCGATTGCTTTGTGGGGATGTTTGCCGAGCAATGGTCTGTTGCCGATCAGCGGTAGGCCAATGGGACCGACGGGTAAATTAAGTCTCTCTTTTATATTACTCAACACATGTATCACTAAACTTATAACCACTAAGAATAGTGTAAAATACACGGCATTGTCCGACATATACCCAAACACCGATTCAATTAAAGCCATTCTATTAACACTGAAAAGGCCTATTAGCCAAGTTTTGACAGTAAAATAAGAAATAAATTGCTTATTTATAAAAACAAAATAATTTTCTTATCAAATAGATATACGATATCAAAATGTGTATGAAGTTCACTCACCCTGGATAGCGCTCATCATATACTTAAATGTATGGTATGGCACTACAGTATTATAATTATTATTATAATATAATATGATAATATTAAAGTAGAAAGGCCTCTAAAGTTTTATACACTTGTATTTATATTTGTGTTTGAGTCTATTTGTGGGGTTTTCCCTATTACATTACACATTTAGTAAGCAAGGTTAGAAAGTAAAACGGCCTCTAAATATTTCTTATTATGTGTCTAATATTCTTACGAATATTTAGTAAGCGATATGTAATGGGAAACCCCCATAAATAGACTCAGGCACAAAATACAGTATATACAATCGTATAAAAACTTTAGAGGTCGCTTTACTTTCCAACCAGTCCAATTATTATATTATAGTATAATTAAATTATAATACAGCTTATCAAAACTTTTAAGGCTTTCCATAAAGAACTATATAAATTAATATTAGCCTTTCGATATGTAAAAGTAGTGTATAAACAGTGTACACAGAACCAACTTAACTAAAAATAATTTTAAATTAATTTTACAAATATGCTGCAATACTTACACCGAAATTACGTACGAATTATACTGCAAAATAAGATTTTTATCATATTTTTTTTATTTAGTGCCCTACTGAGAATCTACTTTAAAAATAACAAATAACATAATAATAGACTGGGTGAATGATTAGATTATCATTAAAATTTGTTTAAACTGTTCAGCCTAAATATCGTATGGTATATATTTTCTTATATAAACTAAAATTTATTTGAAATTGATAGTCATTGTATTTTCTTGAATTAACTTTTTTTAAAAGCAACACAATTGTCCCAACTCACTAAACAGTGTAACAATTTATATTTATATCATTGTTTTATATGGCACTGTAATCTTACTATGAACAAGGATCGATTTGCAATTAAAAGTAATTAAAAGTAATCAAATCAGTTAGATTTGGTTATACGATAACTTTAAGTATATTTTGTTTATTGTATAGCTAAATAATACAGTAATAAGCGTGGTGGTACACTGTTTTTCAAGGATTGCTATATATATTCGTAAACAAACTAGTTACTATGTATAGAAAATGTTTAACAAGTTTATCAATAAAATCACTGAAATAATTAATAATAAAAATTTACCCGTTATAACTACGGTATACTGCAATCAAAATTATTTTGATCCGTTTATTTAACATTTAAATTTTATAAATTAATAATTATTTAAATCCTATTTTTAAACTTAAGTAAAACTTTGTGTTTGGGTTCTAATGCTAATCCAAAATCTTCCTCCAGAGTCAACATCTCATCATTTGCTGCACTTATTGTGTATTTTTGGAGAAGTGATACGAAATACAGGAATACCTCCACTCGAGCTAACCCCTCACCAACACAATTGCGTTTACCTATCAGTCAATTAATACCATGATTATTTAAGTAATTAATTAATTTTTTACTATTATACAATATTTCTTACCCACTGAAAATGGGATTAAAGCATCGATTTTAAGCAATTCTTTGCCATCACTTGTGAGGAATCGTTTGGGACTAAACTCTTGCGGTTTATGCCATACTTTGGGGTCGTTATGAACGGCCCATATATTGGCCATAACTATAGTGTCTTTTGGTATGAAATGTCCCAAAACTGTCGTGTCCTCTAATGCTCTGTTATATTATTTATATAATTATATTAATTATATTAATAGCTATCATAATATACAGCACACCATACCTTCTCCAAGGATTCAATGGTATTGTAGTCTTATATCTCATCACTTCGTTAATGAACGCCTGAGTGAACGGCATATGAAGTCTGTCGGCATAACAGGGACTCCGATCTCTTCCGACCACAGAATCGATCTCTTCGTGAATCCTCTTCTGGTGTTCGCTGTATTTGGCGGACAATAATAGTAACCATTCAGTAGTCGTCCTCACAGTCCCACTGCCGGCCCCAAAAAATAGCTGACAATTTACATTCAATCTCTTCACTAAAATATACAATATTTAATTATTAGTCAAAATATTACAATCAATGTCTGTATGTATGGACTGACGGGTGAAGTGAGTGTTGGGATCCTTTCGTTGTCTCACTTCCATCTCCGCTAAGTATCCGTCGATATAATCATTGACTCTATTGTTCACATCAAACGACTTCTGATGTTTAGATATCTCAGAGCTATTAATGTGTTAAAAAGTTTTATTATTACTGTTAAACCGAAATTAAATGCTTATAAGCATGACTTATAAACTGAACTACTCACTCATAAATTCCCATTATAGTATCAAACACCTTTTGATTAATGGCACCACCTAGCATAAAAAACAATTTACTGAACCATAGGGGGGACGTCGCCATGACTCCAATAAATGAGAAATTCTGAGTTTGGTCTAAGAATTTGTCGAATATCTGTCTCTTGAGTTCATTGAAGTCCATTCGGTGGCCAAACACCAGGTGACTGACAATGTTGGACATACTCGGCACCAGTACTTCGTGTATATCCATGGGCTCACCATTAGTCTCATCGATACGTTTCGTGAGATAACTGATCTCATCGGTGATCCTGTCCTCCATAGAGCCCTTCCCGAAGCCTAAGTCTCTGAGCACCTGTAGGGCAGACCTCCGTTGGTCTCTCCATACAATCCCATTCTCGTCAATAATACCTATTAATAATTGATGTATTATTAAGAATTGTGTTATACTTTGATTTAAATTATTTGTAATCATTATACTTTTAGTTCCCGTCACCGCAGCAAATGGATGTTCAATGGGTTTGCCTAAAAAGGCGTCCTTTTGAAAGGCATCCCTCACGGCCTCCCAATCGTTAAGTACGACCACATTATGCATTCCTAACTGTAAACTGTAAAATGCAGCGAAAAACCTATACTATTATACTATTAATATTTAACTGTACAAATTAATATAATTTTATAATATTTTATAAATTGTTTATAAGTTATTCACCACAATATTTGTCTAACATAATATACATTGAATCACGACATGATTTTAATGTAAATTATAATTTACGATATAAAATACTTTATAGCTTACAATACTTTGAATTAGTTATTCAAACAGTAAATTTGTTAATGCAGATAATAATATGATTTTTACAAAACAAATGTAATTTATTTAAAAATAGCTATAATTTTACAAATATATAAATTAATTCTTAGAGACTTACGTGAAAACAGAGCCGTATTTGTCACTCAATTTAGCGATTGCTTTGTGGGGATGTTTGCCGAGCAATGGTCTGTTGCCGATCAGCGGTAGGCCAATGGGACCGACGGGTAAATTAAGTCTCTCTTTTATATTACTCAATACATGTCTTACAAAACTTATAAACACTAAGAATAGTGTGAAATACACGGCATTGTCACACATATACCTAAACATCGATTCAATTAAAGCCATTGTATTAACACTGAAATTACAAAACCTTTAATAAATTTGTGAAAAACCTTTAGAAAGTTTTGACAGTAAATTAAAAAATAAATTGCCTATTTATAATAAAATTAATTTTGTTATTAAACAGATATGAGATATCTAAATGTGTATAATTTTAGTGCATTAAATTCACTAAGCTACAAATGTTTATCAAATTAATTAGATTCATATTATTAGATACTATTATTTGTTGTATTTTTGCCGTAATTATAATATATAAGTTTATCAAAACTTTTGAGGGTATACTGTTTTTCAAGGTTTTCCATACAGAGCTAAACAAATTGATATTAGTTTTCAAAACAAATTGATAATACTGTACTGTATATAAAATACTAATAAAATTCAAATTATTTTTAACTGTATTAGAAATACAAAATTAGTAGACATAATCTTAAATGAATATAAACATATACTAAGGAATAATATGAGCTTTGAACAATCATAGTAACGTTAGCTATTTTATATTTATTATACAGTATCTAATTATTAATTTTATGCAAAAGTCAATTATTCATAAAATATACATAGGCTTAAGGTAAACGAGTAGTATTATAACTCATCAGGTTAAAATATTACTGTATTTTAAAGTATTAATAAAAATAGCTAACGTTACTATGATTGTTCAAAGCTCATATGTATTGTAAGGCACTAGTATACAGAGCGATTAGACCAAGACTTACCACTGGCGTGGCTTAAATACAGTGCCTTTGCAGTAAACATACACTGAAATAGTGACCCCCGTTATAGGTATCGTATTATTAGTAGACGTTGCCATTAAC